CTATGATGCCATCACACTCTACCCAGAGTGACAAAGTGACTCTGTCTCACCAAAAAAAAAAAAAAAAAAGTTCCCAGCATGAATTCACACTATTCACACTACTTCCTCCTTAGATGCCCCTCCTAGTTCCCGTTCTGTCCTCTAGGGCCAGACAAAGCAGGTTCCTCCTCAGGTATCTGCATGAAGGCAGGTGGGGGCCCCTTGGGTCACACCCATGGCCCTTTCTGGTACCCAGAGCAAGCAGCAATGCTCCCCAGTAGAGCCCCAGAAAAACTCCGAGCTTACCTGCCTGGCTGCCCACCCACATCCTTCCCTCTGGGTCTCCCGGCCTACCCCACAAAGCCCACCTGAGCACCTGAGCCTCCTCCAGCCAGCCACAGGAAGTGTCCCCTCGTAAAGCCCCAAGTAGAGTCCTGGCCTTCATCTGCCTCCACTCACCCACCCCACAAGGCCCTACCAGGGCTTCACCCCACGGCCTTCCTCCATAAAGGAAGCACTTGACCCATTTCACAGATGAGGGAAACTGAAGCTCTCAGAAAATATGGACCTAGCCCAAGGTCATGCAGGGTAATGGATGGGACTTGGACAATTCTGTGGTTCAGACTCCCCTGCCACGGTCACCAATTCCCAGGACACTCCCCTTGGAGACTACTTTCTTTGACTATCTGGAGCTTGGCCTCTGCCTTCTGGGAAGAGGAGGGTCAGGATGGGCTGAGATAAAGTTCTTCCTCATTCCCTAGCCTCCTTCCTGAAACACTGCTTCAAATCCCAACCTGGCACTGATGTTCTGGGTGACTTGGCAACCCTCAGGCATTTTAACTTTAAAGAGTCATCCTGCTATCTTCATACAAGCTATCATCCCCACCCCCAAATTAAAGCTGGAATGTCCCAGAACAGGCACAGGTCTGCTCCCTAGCAGCTTGTAGTTTAGGTCCTTATGACCTTCAGCCCTCACTTCCCTCTAAGGTCCTGAGGTACCACTCTGGCCTCTCCCTCCTTGGGCAAACAGGAGGGGCCAACCCTGCCCAACAGCAAAGGCCTGGGCCCAGGTTCTGTCAAAATCAGGCTGGGATCAGTCACAGTAGCTTACACCTGTAATCCTAGCACTCTGGGAGCCTCAGACAGGGGAATTTCTTAAGCTCAGGAGTCGGAGATCAGCCTGACGAAAGTGAGACTCCATCTCTACTAAAAATAGAAAAATTAGTGGGCTATTGTGATGGGCACCTGTAGTCCCAGCCACTTGGAAGGCTAAAGCAGGAGGATTGCTTGAACCCAGGAGTCTGAGGTTTCTGCGAGCTAGGTTGATGCCATGGCACTCTAGCCTGGGCAACAGAGCAAGACTCTGTCTCAAGGGGAAAAAAAAAATCAGGCAGAAAAAAAATCAGGGGAGGGGCACTGAGCCACCAAGGAAAACAGACCCTGCCACCACCCTACCAACAGGTTCTCAATCACCATAGAGACCAAGGTGAGGTCCCCCACCCCAGTGACTCCTCCAATCTAGAAGTAGATAATCAAGGTCCTAGTCCTCATTGAATTGTGCCACAAGCAACTCACCAGGTGATAAGAAGTGGCCAACATCTGCCCTTGCCAGGATGCCAGAAACAGTAACACCCTATCTGTCTCTGATGTTGATGTCCTCTTTCCACTCAAGGTCACTTCACCAGTAACACTGACCTCAAGGCACTGCTGTGTGACCCTGGGAAAGTGCCTTTCCCTCTCTGGGCCCGAGGAGGCACCTAAGCACCACATTCACAGCTTCTGCCATATCCACAAACTACCTATACTATATTTTTACTCAATATTTTCATTTACTTGAAAGGTTATTATGTTATTTTATTTTTGAAATATGTAATATATGTGACACAGCAGGTATCCAAATAAGGTCTTCAGCTTGTCTCCCTCTTTCCCTGATACTCAATTTCTTCTTCAGGGGCAACTAGGAGTGGGATTTTTTTAGGTGCCTCTCCAGCGATGTCTAACAGACATCCACACATATTTTAGATAGTCCTCTCTTCTAGCTGTATTTCTTCTACACAAATGATAACATTCTGCAGTTTGACACCTTGCATTTTTACTTTAAAATACAGCCTGGGGTAGTGCCTGTAGCTCAGTCGGCAGAGCGCTGGCCAAATATACCAAGGGTGGCAGGTTTAAACCTGGCCCAGGCCAGCTAAACAACAATGACAAATACAACCAAAAAATAGCCAGGTGTGTGGTGGGCGCCTGTAATCCCAGCTACTTGGGAGGCTGAAGCAGGAGAATTGTTTAAGCCCAAGAGTTTGAGGCTGCTGTGAGCTGTGACGCCATAGCATTCTACTGAAGGTGACATAGTGTGACTCTGTCTCAAAAAAATAAATAAATAAAATACATCCTGGATGGCCCGGCACCTGTAGCCCAGTAGTTAGGGTGCTGGCCACATGCACCTGGTCTGCTGGGTTGGAACCTGGCCAGGGCCTGCTAAACGACAGCAATAACAAAAGAAAAAGCCAGGCATTGTGGCAGGTACCTATAGTCCCAGCTAATTGGGAGGATGAGGCAAGAGAATCTCTCAAGCCCAAGAGTTGAGGATGCTGTGAGCTGTGACACTACAGCACTCTACTGAGAACACAGTGAGAGTCTGTCTCAAAAAAAAAAGGGAAAGAAAATCACTAGTCTAGACAGATAAAGTTATCGCTCACATTCTTAAAAAAAAGAAAAATGTTGGAAAGTTGCTAAAAACACAAGTTAGCACCAAACTGAGGTTGCCTCCTCTGTGTACTCAATGCTTCAGGATCTGACTAAATGGACATGATGTGAGACCTCTTTTTTTTTTTGAGACAGAGTTTCATTATGTTGCCCTCGGTAGAGTGCCATAGGGTCACAGCTCACAGCAACCTCAAACTCTTGGACTTAAGTGATTCTCTTGCTTTAGCCTCCCAAGAGCTGGACTATAGGAGCCCACCACGCCTGGCTATTTTTTTGTTGTCGTTGTCATTGTTGTTTAGCAGGCCCGGGCTGGGTTTGAACCCGCCAGCCCCAGTGTATGTGGCCAGAGCCGTAACTGAGCACAGGGCACCAAGCCTGATGTGAGACTTTTTAAGTTCTGCATGGGAGAACTTCTTTATTACTTTGAAATGGAAGAGACTACGATTCAATTTCCAGAAGCCAGAAAGAAAAAAGCAAAAAGAAATAAATAACTAGGCGGCACCCGTAGTTCAGCTGGTAGGGCGCCGGCCACATACACAGAGGCCGGTGAGTTCGAACCCGGCCCAGGCCAGCTAAAAAAGCAATAACAACTGCAACCAAAAAATAGCCCGGCATTA